CTGTGAACATCTATACCATGTTGAACACATAAATTAACTGCGTTAGTTATAAGACTAACCAAGTTTGTTGTTGAAATCTTTTCACATAAAACATAACCGATAGGACAATTCCAATACCCTCGAAGTCCAACAAGCATAAAGACAAGAGCCTCAGTAGCTATACTATTTCGATCAAAAGCAGATATATTGTTTCCATAATCTGAAAAACCTTCATAGTTACCATTACTTGGATTATAAACAAGACCTGATTTTATATGCATAGAATCAAAGATCAATGCACAATCTTTATATGTAACATCTTCTAATTCCTTTTGTTGTAAGTAAGAAAAAACATCTTTAAAAAATCCAGGTGAACAATCAATAGATGAGGACCAATTCGATAAAGAACTTATACAAGGCAAAGCAAACAATGAGCTGACAAAAGTATAGGCACGAGGTGAATAAAAATGAAGTGTCAAGGCAAATTTCTTTACTTCCTCTGAATATCGGTGACCTCTAGGATCTTTGCATTTATTGACTAGTTTAGATTTAAATAAATCACAAACAAGACCAGAAAAGCTATTATCAAGAAATTGAGCTGTATCAGCTGATATAAGCTTGTCATTCTCAAGTTTTTTAATAATTTCTGTCATTGTATTTATTTTCAATTCTTTCCTTCTAAGCTTTTGTTTAAGAGTCTTAATTTTTCTTTTAAGCTTGACTTTTGATGGAGAGTCGACTTTATTATTTGGATTTTCAATAGTAAAATCTACACTAGTTAAAATATGATTCTTAGAGGAACATGGCAACGAAAGAGATATCTTTTTTTCATTAATAGTTTCGAATGTCTCAGTTACATTCCTGGAAACATATTTTCTTTTGATGGGCTTTTTAGAATGCATTTTCAAAATTTGTTAGCATTTATCGTTTATCTATGAACTGCATATTTATCTATTTATAAAATTGCATGTTCTTCATCCAATACTTCGAATTCTTGTTGCTAATTGTTCTGTTAATGGCCAAGGCCGTCCCGAGGAGACGTTGGGGGTGTCTAGCCCCCTTACCAATTTCATTAGTTAGCAAAATAAATTTCTTTTTTGATACGTTAGTGGGCAATTTATACAGCATACATACAGAACAACATACAGAAAATCTATGCGACATATACACAGATATGATATGTCGCATAGATTTTATATATATATATATATATATATATATATATATATATATATATATATATATATATATGTCGCATAGATTTATATATATATATATATATTATATATATATATATATATATATATATATATATATATATATATATATATATATATATATAAAATCTATGCATCGTATCTGAAACATCAAAACATCCTGCTTACCCATTAAATGGCAGGTTATGCTTCTTTGCCATTATGAAAGCAACTTACCAAGGAGAAGGAAAACTCTATATAAAAAACAAAACCTTCTTTGAAGAAGGTTTCGGGCTTTACATTAAGTTTTCAAAACAATGTTTTAAAAAGTTTAGGAGTGACTTCATTATCCTATCCAAAATATAATAAGCTAGCGTGATCAGCAAATATGACTAATTAAATTTTAATTTTTATAGGTACCATTGATGTAAATAAAAAAAAGGTCTTAGCTCTGAGAAACTCTACAGTTTTTATCTAACAACAACAACAACAACAACAACAATATATTTATTTTCCTTTTCAAAATTTACATATAATCATATAACAAACAGTAATAATAATAATAATAATAATAATAATAATAGCAATAATAGCAATAATAATAATAATAATAATAGCAATAATAATAATATTATCTATAAAAATACAAACAATATAATTATAATAAAATATAACTAATAAGAATAAATATAAATAATTATTTAAAAAGGAAGGTGTTACTCAAACAGAAACCTGATCAAAGGAGTGACACCAAATAACTATAACAATAATAATTAAAAATAATAATTATATATATATATATATATATATATATATATATATATATATATATATATATATATATATATAGTATATATATATATATATATATATATATATATATATATATATATATATATATATATATATATATATATATGTATATATATACACATACAATAATAATAATAATAATAATAAAAAAATATAATAATACAAATAATATGATGACATGAGTGTCACTTATGATCAAAATTAGTGACACCAATTAATTATAACAATTGGTATAATAATAAAATAGTAATAAAAATAACAAATATGAACCAAAAATCGCTAAGAAAATAAATAAAATAATAATAACAACGATAAAGCTAAAATAAGTTAAATAATAAGATAAAAAATATGAAAACACTCAATAACAACAGCAAACAAAAATAAAAATAATTTGCAAAACAGAGCAAATAAAAAACAAACCTTACACAAACGAAAAGGCAAAACACAAGAATTACAAGATGAAACACAAAAACTACAAAACGAAAATATTGAACGAAAATATTGAAAAATAT